GTTAAATAATTTATCGGCTATGACCGGTTATTTAACCGTATGACCGATCGCGGTCGACCGGTCATGAACGGTTAACCAGTAATGACCGACCGAACCATCCCTAATCTGGAAACAAAAAACTTGATATCTTCGAAAATGTCAAGATGAGAGTCCTATACCAGATAGCATCGTTGAGTGGATAGAATTTCGTAACTTAATGAACGTCAAGTTTTTAGCTGAAGGTGGATTTGGAAAAGTATATAGTGCTACGTGGACACCTGGTAAGATCACTGGTTGGAATGAGATGAAGAATACTTTTGTACGAAAATCCAAAAAGGTGGCACTTAAAGTCTTTAATGATGATGGCCCCCCTGGAGACGAACTTTTTCGAGAAGTAAGTTATTCATTTTTCACGTACTGTATACTCTGTCTTTATTAAATTTCAAGCGCTTTATTCTAATTAATAGGCACATTGGAGTCAAATATTCACAAGAAAACGAAATTTTAGACCTTGTGTTGTTAATATATTAGGTTTCACTAAGAATCAAGAAGGAAAATATGGGATTGTCTTAGATTTATGTGAAGGAGGCGATTTACGAAATTATCTCCAAAAACACTATAAAACTATGAATTGGAAAGATAAAGTAAAAGTTGCCTGGGATATTGCATTTGATATACAGGAAATTATTGAATATAGATCGGTTCACATCCTGGAAACATACTTTAATTAAATAGTTATATGCATAACGACTGGTTTATTTCTGATCTCGGAACATGCGGATTAGTCGATGTGCCAGAGAAGCAAGAAGGTGAAATAATGGGTGTATTACCCTACATGGCTCCTGAACTCCTTTGTGGTGGCCGTAAAACACAAGAATCTGATATTTATTCTTTTGGAATTATAATGTGGACAATAAGCGCTGGATGCGTTCCATTTAATGATCGACATGGAGATCCATATTTAGCCAACGATATTATATGTGGCCTTCGACCTTCTATAATTCCTGGAACATCAAAGAAATACGCAGATTTGATGTGCAAATGTTGGGCTAAGGATCCCCATGATCGCATTTCTGCAAAGGATGCTGTCCAAATCCTTCGAGTATTACTGAGAGATATGATGGAAAATAATTTTATCGATGAATATTCGACTGAAAAAAATTCATCATGGAATCCACCGAAATTTGATTTTTCAGTTTTTCTTACCAGTGAACGATTGATTATTTCAAATTTGACTAACAGTAGGGGTAATTCACATTCGAATTCGGATAAATTGATATTGTATCCAAAAATACATGATACACGAAACTAATTAAAGCTATAGCACATATTTTAGAGTAGTAGTATAAATTAATTGAATGTGACGTATCATACTTTACTTTATATAGATATGTTCTTAAAATTTTAAAATTTTTGAATAGTTTTATCATATTTGAATGCATAGTTTATCATTTATATAGTCGGTCTATTCAAAAAATTTTCACTACTTGAACATTACCTGAACTAGTCCGTTTAGAATATTAACATTAGCAAATGCATCAGATTGGTCTAAAGCAAGTTTGAACATCATGCTTACATTATTAAATTAGGGAATGTATAGCGCTATGGTACACGGTGCGATGGTATAAAATTGACTAATAAAATTTCAAATATTAAAATAAATACTTTAAAATTTATGTCTTTTAAATAAAAAAACAAATATATTTATAACGCCATTTTATATTGCATATAATTAGAACTTTATTTTATAAATTGACCATGATCATGTTATTACAATTTCTTAAAAATTCCAGACACAACAGAACAATTCCTAATAATTAAAAAGCAAAATTCTGAAATTCAAATAATACTATCAAGTTTCACTTGAATGATCAAGTCAATCTTATAATCGTTTTGCAAATTTTATCGTAATGGTTAATGGGTTAAAAGGATAAATATGCGACATTTATTCTTATCAAAAATCTGCAGAGATGTGTAACGTTATCTGTTGAATACTGTTATCGAAATGAAATTGATGTTGAAAAGGGTGATCATAAGCATTAATTTCTTTTGAAAATCAGAGAGATAGGTGACGTTGATAGAACATTCCAAGTTGGATATTGTTATCAGAATGGAATTGATATTGAAAAGGATAATCATAAGATGTTCACTTATCAAAATCTGCAGAAATTAGTGACGTTATTGGACATACCAAGTTATTTTGTTATCGAAGTGGAATTGGAGTTGAAAAGGATGATAAAGACATTCGTTCATTATCAAGAAAATCACCGAATGTGGATAAGACAGATGAACAAATAGTATTGGGCATTTCTAACAACATTGCATTGAAGTGAAAAGAACGAACATATGAAATTCATTTATTATCAGAAATCAGCAATTATCGGGGACGTCTGTAAAACACATGAAGCCGAGAATTTCTTGATGAAAACGGTAAAGAAATGTGTAAACTGTATAATGAGGATTCAAAGGCAAAAGTTTTCATTCAATTTTAAGCAATTAGAACAAATTCAAGAATAAGAAACTGAATCCAGATAATATCAATTTTTACTTACACATCAAATTCCTTATGATTCGAATTGTTCTTGTAAGTTGTTATCGTTATGATAAAAGGTTAAAAGGACGAACAGATAGGCATTTGTTTGTTACTAGCAGAAATTGGGAATGATAGGGGAATCTTTGCGCTTGAGCGGGTATCCTAATGAGATTGGAGATGAAAGGATGAAGATAAAGTATTCATTCATTATTTAAAATCACCAGTGATGAGATTGGATATTACTATCAACATAGAATTAGAGAGAAAGGGGTTAACATAAGGCATTTACTTATTATCTGAAATAAGCAAAGATTGGAGACGTCTGTGGAACACAAAGTTGGGATTTTCTTGATAAAATTGTTAAAGGAATTGGAATCTGTGTAATTATCGACGATTCAGTGGCAAAAATCTACGTTCATTTCTAACAATTAGGGCAAATTCTACCATGTAAGAAACTGAATCCAGATAACATTACCAAGTATTTACTTACATAATCAAATCAGTCACATGGATCAAATTATTCTTGCAAGTTGTTATGTTATAGTAAATGGGTTGAAAAAACGAACACTCTAGTGAATAGAAAACTGGCCGTGCTTATTGCTTCCTGCTTTAAATCGGACTAACCATAACCGTTGGGAAAATGTATCTATTAATAAACTTTCATGAGTATGAAAAAGAATTCATGGGCACCTCAATATAGCGAAAGACGAAAGCCCAAAAAGGATGAAAAATGGAATGCCTGAAGAAATGACAAAATCTTGACAAAATGGCGAAACTCTGATGAAATGACAAAACGGCGAAACTCTGGCAAAACAGTAGAACTATCTTAGTTATAGTATAAACGATCATGAAAATCCCAAATATTAAAAAGTGTTACTTACACGTAATCGCAATGTGATGATTGTCGATTGTTTCATAAGACTTACTACGGCGCCATGGTGCTATAAGAATATATAACTTTATATTTTAATAATATCACACACATCCTCATCAGAATATAAAAATCATCATATGAGAATGATAAGTAATATTAATATGAGAGCAGACCGGTCTATTAGAATAGTGCAATGGCTCATATTGCACTAATCTATAGTTGACCGGACTGCTAACTACATTATAAAAGTATGATACGAGTTAGTAAATGTCAATAAAATAATAGAATTATAATTGAAAGTATAAATAAACATCGCTTCCCTTTTTTTGTCACATTCTTATTAGAATGTTATATGAAATTAATGGAATAATAGTTAGCCAACGAATTACATTACATTAATGTAGGCTAAGTCAGATACCAAGTCTAATGCCCTTTAAACAAACCAACAAGATGGCTCACAGCCAGGTAGCTCAGAACATATGGCACAGAGTATGTGTCTAAATAATCTATACTTTTAATATTATGAAAAGCTTGCCACACAGACTCATTACTATAAGCGCAATATCTTTGTCGATTTAACCGATGGCACAATAGTCTAACTAGAGCATGAACCTGAAATATATCTTATAGTATCGATTTCTTGCCGTGTAAGGTTATTATAATCGTCAACTTTCTTTTTTTCTACTTATCCAGTCGTGAGTTATTATTTTGGATTAATATGATGATGATATTGTTCATTATTCCACAAAATAATCTTTGTGAGACTCATTTCCAATAATATTTGACTGGCGCTATAATGAAATTACTATCCATACTTCGAATTGTTAATTGCATCTCCCTTAATATTTGTCAAATAGTGCCGAACTTGGTAGCATGAAATGTGATATTGTAAAAAGGTATTAATAGTAATCATCTATTATAATTATCTGGGTTGTCTATTTGTGAGTTGTTAAAACTACATAATTTATACTGTTGAATTGTTCGCTAAATTATCCCATAGTCTAATTATTGGCTGAGGAGACAAAGGCAATATAATTAGAAAATTCTAGCACAATGGGCTTATTTCATTCGTACTAATTTCATGTTGATTTCATAGTTCTTTTTGCATTGATTCACTTCGAAGTTGTTTTCCAGCGAATATCAGCAGTCATTGTTCTTTATTCGACTATAATGTCCATATCTAAGCTTTCCACTTCGATCTATGGTTCTAAAAAATTATGATAAGTAATGATTTGAAAATCGTTAGGTGTTAAATTTCAAATAATAATTCCAATTCTACAGTACTACAATAATTAATCATTTATTTAAAGCATAACTTACAGTACTATTAATTATTTATTCCAATCAACTATGCCAAAAAAATTGAATCAAGTAAAAATTTTTATTATAATCCAAATCAAGTAAAATTTCAATCATCGTTGGTAATTATGTTTGACTTGGTTTACGTATTTCGCTAATATCTTCCATATCAACTGAATTTTTTTTGTAAATAAATGCTTTGAATCCGCTCTTCTCAACTTTAATTCCAATTACAGAATTTGAACTTGGCCAGATATTTTGCAGTGTTTTTAAATATTTCTGTAAATAGAAATAAAACACCTGATTAGTTAGACAAAACTATAAATTTCTAAGTTAGATATAAAGTTCAGTACAAAAATGTAAATTGCTATGCTTGAATTATTATTAATACCTATTTTTCCGGATGTTAAATTTGTACTCAAGCTCAAATTTTAGAATCTTCCATACATTTCTCTTTCTGATTGTTTCATCGTGGCAGTAAAAGTTCAATTTTTTGCTTTTTATTGGACCGCTCGGATTAGAAATGGTTTTCTTGTAAACTCAGGTTCAAGTTTATGTGCCATCGATCAATTTTGTTGCGCTTATAATATTTCATCTGTGCTGGTTAGCTTACACATAATATTAAAAGTATGATCATTTAAACAACATAATCTATGTCATATATTCTAAGATATCCGGCCCATGAGACATCTTGTTGGCTTGTCTAAAGAGAACTGACCTCTCACTATTATAGTATGTGATAGAGAATATAAACTTTACTTTCCGTATTAAATATAAATATAAGAATAAAAAAAAAAGTCGAATGGCAAATGAGTGGAAAAGGATAAAACAAGTGTGCGGTGAAAATGGAATAAACATGTAAACAATTGTTTATGTATTTTTTTAAAAAATTTGATTGGTTAGAAAATCAATTGATTACGTAATTTCAAATTTTTTGTAGATCATCAAATTACGTACGTACGTACTCGACTTTTAACACGCCTATATAATTTTGTTTGAACGAGCCACCACTTTGTCCATTTTATTCAAAAATGAAATTGTTCATTCAAATATTTTATATATACTCGTACGTCTTGAGCTTGAGTTGTGTTGTGAAAGGCTTCGAAGTACCCGTACTTTTAATTTTTTTTTATTTTTTACTAGGGGTGATGATTATTTTTTTTTATATAATATAATATATATTAGATACAAGGTCCCAATTTTAGTTTTCGTGAGGTTTTTGGGGGTCCTGAACATTTTTACTTAACTCGATCCAGTTTGCTTAGTACGTTTTTTTGAGATATAGCACCCAGCCAACCTAGTGTCGCCCAACAGGAGGAACCGTTGATTTTACACTACTGATTTTACACACGGCGTGAAACACATAAAATTATTATTTTACAATATTTTGATCAGACTTGATCAGTCAGTTAGTCATGTTATGATTATAATCCAACACCATTTTTTATTATAAAAAAATGATGTTGGATTATAATCGTAACATGTACTAGCTGA